GTCCTGTGTAGCACGTATTTTTCTGTGCGCATTTTGTCCCAGATGGGAGGGGTCGGGGATAGGATCTCACTCACCGGTTTACAGGTGGCTAAGCATACGGGCAATTTTACCTGCCACCGGTGTACTGGTGGACAGGGCTCAAGGTGTTAATAGTACTCTCAGTAGGCAAACTTTACACAAGCAGTAAAAAAGTTGCGGGATGAAGAAGACAGGGAGGCAGCAGAACACCACGCAATCATTAGGATGCGGGAAATGGGGATAGAGAGGGGAGAAGGAAGAAAGGAATGATTATCTGGAAAGGAGAGACGTCGCCATAAAATCAGTCACTGGAACAATCAGCATGGATACCTTGCTGGCTTTGGTGCAGGGGGGAACTGAGCACTTATGGACCTGTCCGGTGTGCAATGACATTGTTGCCCAGGACAGGTAATACAGGTAATGCACAAGCAGTTCAGGAGTAGCTCATTATTTTACAACGACTGGGTATCACCAGTTACCAATAGGCACTGGGATAGCCTCAGGCCCTAGTATCTCCCTGCCCAGAGCCTCCATTCAAGTAATGCAATCAACAACTGTTGTATAGAACAACCCTCTCTACACCGAAATATTGTTCAAGACAAAGGACATCAAAATTTAACGCCCATATCTGAAAGGACAAAGCCATGGAGGTGGAGAACCCTAAAAACTTTCTGAACAATACAAATCGAGAGTGACCCATTGGGGATTCGAACCAGAATCATGAGGGACATAGCACAGAATGATATCAGCCGAGATAAGCAGTCCGCCTGCACATAGTGTGAAGTCTGCTGGCTGTACAAATGTCATGGGGAACATGCTCTTTGGCTCCATCCATTGTTATGCAACTATGTAAACCGAGTCTAGTACGAGCATAACAATTGCTAATCTTTAAGACTGAGAAACTTTTATAAGCCAACCTTTGATGGATTGAAAGTGTTTTACACCCTCAACAATAGTCAAGATCATTTTTGCTTCCATCATGCCTCAGGGCCAACCCTGGTTGTGTGCAGTACGTCCCTCTAGAATGGTGGCCGCATGATACTACACAGAATACTTTACCTATGTGATAAATCAGACTAAAATCTTTTACGTGCTGAGAATCTAATAAGCACTACACCACAAATACCCGTAAGGTAAGCTTCATCAAGTTCAGTTCATAGCCGCCAAATACAGCCCTATCACATTGAAAGGCAGGGGAGAGAGGGGCAAAAGAATGACTGAAAACACAATAAAGCTCTCTAGATGGTCATTTCATCTTTGAAGTCATAAAATCACAGGGTAGGATTCCGAAACAAAAACATAAATCAAAGTAAAAAAGGGAGGGGAATGGGCTGCAGACAAAGGGAGGGGAATGGGCTGCAGACAAAGGGAGGGGAATGGGCTGGGGGTTGAAAAACACACGTACAAAGTCAGTGATGAATTAATCTTTCCCATAGTCCAAAAGAACCATGCACGAAAAAGACTGGTGAGCATGTACATTAATGAGGATGATAAAACAGATCTACTTGACAAAATCATTTTTGAAAGAGACAAAAAAACAGATGCAGTGAGCTTTGTTTTCGTCAACAGCAGTAAAAATTAGTTGAATTCAAACACATTTTCACACACAATTTGGAATTCCTCGATATGTTGAGTAATGACACCAAAGGCATCGGGAAATGGAATAAAATAAAAGATGAAAAATCTAAAAAGAGCCAGCCATGGCAGTAGCAGGAGGACCTTTCAACAAGACCAGTATGTAGCCTGCACCAGGCTTGACAGCAATAAAATGAATAAATAAATCACTTGGAAGCAATGCTTTTGTTACACAGAATACTTCAATGGAATCTTATGAAGCTGTCATAGGGCAGATGTACAAACTGATTGATCAAGTCACACTTCTACAAAATACAACATTCCTACACTTGGAATTTTGCTTCAAACCAGTCTGCTGATCAGTATCCCATTTTGTTTATAAATACACACATAGAGAAAAAAAGTACAAGTGATGACCAGTAAAGAGAATGTTACCATGAAACAAGTACTACGATCCTGCTATTGGCATTGAGTATAGAGGTGCGCAACCAGTGAATACAATGAAAATAAGTTGAGTCATATAATCAAACAATATAAAAAAAAGAAATATATTATGGTAATAATGACTCACACATATTTTAATCCCTACATCTCAACAAAGATTGCTCACAGGCTAACAAGTCTTCTTTTCTGTTCTCTTTTATGAACCCTTTATTTTCAAAATTGTAGCCAATGATATTTTCAAAATTGTAGCCAATGAGGTTTCTTGTTCTCATCGCTCGCTCCACGCTAAAAATGATAATGACATTTAAGTTGACATCTTAAATAATTAAGAACAAATTGTTAAGCTCATAAATCTTAAATTAAATTAAAAAATAACCCAAAGTTATTTACGTAAAATACTGTTCATTCTGTTTGATAAAAGATTGTAAACATACAGCTGTTTTTGGACACTGGAAAATGTACTATTCAGTAAATTTTATTATACAGATCCCTCTACATTTGTTTTCTACAACATGCTATGAAACTAATCACACATTACTTACCATATATAACTTACTATACCAAAGAGTAGAGGGACCACCACATCACCACACGACCCAACCACTTAACCTATGCTTTCTTTTTGTTTCAGTAAGGGACTACCCAGTTATCTCATACTTTCTCGTTAAGTTGGCATTGTTTCTAACATGAGAACTTTCAGCTCTTCCTAACTTGACTTTTGAAGTTTTGAGGCACCTCATTTTTAGCTTTATTGTCTTGTTGATTAAGGAAATTGTTAAAAGATGGTATTAAAACCATTTTTAAACAAATGTTTTTTAACATGCCCAAATATACTGATTAAAAAAAGACTGAAAGAGAAAACCTGCATACCACACTCAGTGAAAATGATCATGTTTCAACTGACCACTTGAGTTGAAACAAATGTTTTTTAACATGCCCAAATATACTGATTAAAAAAAGACTCAAAGAGAAAACCTGCATACCACACTCAGTGAAAATGATCATGTTTCAACTGACCACTTGAGTTTAAACAAATGTTTTTTAACATGCCCAAATATACTGATTAAAAAAAGACTGAAAGAGAAAACCTGCATACCACACTCAGTGAAAATGATCATGTTTCAACTGACCACTTGAGTTTAAACAAATGTTTTTAAACATGCCCAAATATACTGATTAAAAAAAGACTCAAAGAGAAAACCTGCATACCACACTCAGTGAAAATGATCATGTTTCAACTGACCACTTGAGTTGTGACAATTTAAAAAATACAATGACCTCTTTATGGCAGCTTCATTACTAGACCCAACCCTATGCTGTTTTAACCAATCAGAAAAAGTGTTAAAAACAACTATAGCTAATTAGAATCAGTGTTAAATGCAACTATAGCCTCATCAAATGAAGAGACTTCACTCCAGGACACCTCTACTATAGCCCACAGTTTCATTTTTTTCTTCCTTTTTCAAAGCAGGGTATACATTTTCTTCCTGCTGCACTTTGAGATGTGAGTATGGGCAGTGAAGTATCAGAGGTTTGGTAGGTTGTTTTTTTTACTTTGTTTGTATGTTGTGTAAAAGAGAAATACAACAGACTTTAGGGAGAGAAAAAGAGAGACGGAGGACAAAAAAAAAAAGGAAATTATATTCTTTCTCTATCTACACTTGGGACATGAGCACAAACGGACTTAGGTATTGGGGAGGGAAGATGTCCTGGACCAAACCTTCATAGATATGAAATATGGTATCATACTTAGACAAATCCTTCAAAAGAAATGGAGAGTCTATCACACTAACCCAACCCTTCAAAGATACTGAGAGTCCATGGCATTGTCACAGTTAATCAAAGGACAACCTGAAACCAACCTTTCAAATATGTGAGGCATCATGGTGGAATCAGGCCCATGTCCAAATAATGAAATCGAAGATACCAGTATTTTTCCGCCGGTTTGGCAAATTTTATAGAATTTTTGGTTTTTGGCTCCACACCTTTCATAACCATTTAAAAAAACATTTCTGTGTGAATTTTACTGAAAAATATTTATTAAAGGCACAAAAAAATGTAAATTTTGAGTTTCCAGGGGTTCTCAAGTTATGGAAGTCACCAAACTTTGGCTGTCATTTTCTCATTAATTTTACCTCTGAAACCAGACTACCCCCACATCCCTTAATCCCAAATATCTCCACTTCTGTTCAAGATATATATGGCTAATTTTTTCATCGAAAGATAGAAAAATGAACAAGCTTTAAGATGATACCAATAACTCAACATGCCCAAAAATTGACAAGCGCCCGATTCCACAGCACCATAACACATATATACCGATGGTCCACCACACTTGTCATCATTATTCAAAGGACGATCCGTAAGCTGGGCTGTAACCCAACTATAATGGCAAATAATATTATGCTGCAAGGGCCCAACTTCAACTCTCCCTTATCACTCACAACACAGACCTGCTGTAGTTGAGTAGTACTTTACAGCTAGTAGATACAACAATAGGTACATTTCAATAGGAATAGATTACGATAATTTACAATACTGAAAAGAAGTAAAAGGAGCAAACCACCTCAAAGCCAGCAACCAACTGCACAATCCCGTCAATACACATCCGACCATGTGCAATTCCAAAATCTCTCCATAAAAACACAGCACAATCAATAAAATACAATGTCATCATAGGTCAGCTGAATATAATGTACAAACACAATGACGATGATGATGATGATGACGATGACGATGATGAAGCTCATGAGCAGAATCACAGACGGGCAGCTCCACAGAGAGAAGCGAAGGCGGAATTTGTTCTGTAGATGTCTGCAGCAGCAGAGCAGAAGCTCTTAGGGTACAGCCACTTTCAACCCTTGATGACCAAAGACAACTTAACAGGAAAATTGAAAAATTAATATTGAGGGCATCAAATAACTCTTCATACTCTGGCCAAAAAAAAAAGGTGTATTTGTGTGTGTGGGGGAGGACTGGAGAGACATTTATTGTATGCTCGCCACCACAAGGTTCAGTTACTAAAAATTACTTTTTGTGAATAAATAACTGCACACACTTTTAGTTGTTTCTCAGTTCTCCTATTGTCCTTCGCCTTTGAGAGTTGAGTATGACTGTACCCTAATTATGATGACTGAATCTGGCAAGGACAATCTTTCTCCTCGTTTCAGTGAGTAAGCGAGAGCCAGATGGCGAGAGTATGGAAGCAGAATTGACAGATGGAGTATGGAGTATGCACAAAGATCATGAATACGAAGATTGATTATTCTTCAGTCTTTCTTCCTTGTCCGCACAACAATCAACATCAAAGGAATGAAGCCCCGGCAGCAGGAAAGCACCCACCAGTCAGTGTTGCTCCATAATCTCAGTTATATCCCCTAACAGATGTTATTTATGTGCCAACACATTTTTCAAAAAATGCTTAGGTAACTCATCTCATTTTTGTACCAACTCATTTTGCAAAAATCCTATCGTAATCCATCTCACTTCTGTACCAACCCATTTTGCAAAAATGCAAAGGCAATTCATCTCAAAATGCACAATCTTTGGCAGAACCGACTGAAGGAGTATGGGGTGAAAGTGAGCCTAGACCAGTGTGTCTCTACGTGGACATGTTTGCACTGGAGTTGAAGTCGCTGTTCACCGACAGACTGGGGATGGCCGTGGTGTTGGAGCCGAAGCTGTTGCTGCGGCTGTATTGTACGTCAAAGTGCGTGCTGTCGTATGAGAAGATGGGAGCGTGGTCTTCATTTTTGTGCACTGCTGTGCTATACGGGAGGCTCAGCTGGTCCTCATCTACTTCGTCGTCCTGAGACTTGTAAGAGAACTGGAGGCCAGTCTGAGCAGTTCTGTGGATTGAAGAACAACGACAATGATGCACCAATAGTCATTCAAGGAGTATCTCAGCTTTCTGCCTTCAGTTAAGTTTTAGTGAGAATTTTATTGCACCAGTAACACAAATATGTCATATAAGAGCTGAAGGTTAGAGGTGCTACTACAGGGTAACATAGAAAGAAAAGGAGGAGGAGAGACAAGGACGACAGATGTTTGATAGGAAAGAAGGAGCAAACTACATCTACCAATCACCCGCTTTCTTCCTTCAAAGACAGCATGCTTGAGGCGAAAAATATAAATGCGCATGCCAAAAATCATCAACATGTGGGGAGAAGCAAAATGAACAGACAGAATCAATACAAGAATCTTGTAATGTGAGAATGAAATCAAGGCGTATCCATTTGGACTTAAATGAGCAATAAAAACTCACTCGAAAAATTTCCACAGGAACACTCCATACACCAACGGGTTGTAGAGAGAAAAGTATGCGTATGATGTGACATCGATAACACTGTGGGGGGAAAAAAAAGCATATGAAGAATAGATTATAATGAACACCACCTTTATAATGATAACCATTCTTTCTCAGTAAGATAGACAGTAAAGAAGCTTTGCCAATAGAACTATATCAACTTAACATAATCAATAAACATGACAACTGAACTCAACAAAAAGATGTGTCTTACTTAAGATCAACCAACAACATGTGCCAGGCTCTGTCACATAATACATGTATGAAAAGGTACGAATAGAAATGATTTTCACACAAAGATGCCAGTTTGCAGTCAGAAACATTTAGCAAAATTAATAAAAGTTGAGAGTCAGTATGTGGAGGTGGGACTGATAAGAAAGGCCTACTGTCTAGTAAAACTAAAGCAGTTTAAAAGCAAGGCTGATACAGCATACACACATCCAGACAAAAGGGATATCGTTTTATTGTTATTACTACTCCCACACCTGAACATGTGTGGACTCACACATTGACAGAGAAGTCCATAGACACCTTTGTTTCCCACATACGCTACAAATCACTCCAAACTTTAATATTACGTTCATGGTTTACATAAGTTCTACAGTACAGTACAGTACAGTACAAATACACTTACCACAAGCTGGGTGCATTCATCATGTAGAGTAGTATGCTGGCCACTGCTTGGCTCAGATTCAAGGCCGCGAGTACGATGCAGTAAACGTAGAAAAGTATTTTGGCTGTGGAAGAGAATGAGTCATAAATGCCTTGGATCTCACAAAAACAAGCACAGATAAAAAACATTCCTGACTTCTCATGTGATAAGACGGCCACCTAGGCCTTGTTGAGTTGAAAGAAGTTAACAACAAGTGAGTTAACTTGTTTAAGTAGAGGTTTTATGACACTCGCAACAGCATAAGGTCATATGAGTGTCAGAAGATTAGAGGTGTTATAAGAGAGTAACAAACATAAAAAAGAAGAAGGGGAGATAAGGATGATAGATGTTTGATAGGAAAGAAGAAGAAAACCACACCAGAGCATCCGCCAACCACCCACTGAGTAAATTTTAGCTCAAAGTTTGCAAGGAACTGATAAAGCAAATAAGTAGCAATTCAGAAAAAAAGTAAAAGGAGCAGAGCCCACAAAACACAGAATCTAGAGCAGGAAAGGAAGACAAAAACATTAATGCCACATAAATGACTTTTTTGGTCTTATTTTCATATGTGTTTTACAGCACTTGCAACACAATAAGGTCATATAAGTGCGGAAGAAGAGGGGTGTTACAAGAGAGTAACAAAGACAAAAAAAGAAGGAGGGAGATAAAAGACAATAGATGTTTGAAAGGAAAGAAGAAGCAAACCACACCAGAGCACCCACCAACCACCCACACACAAACGATAGTAGCTACAGAAACACAGGGGTGGGGAAAAGGTCATCTAGCAAAGCACCAAACGAGGAACAGAGCAGAATTATGTGGTGTAAATACATACGGAAAAGGAAAAACAAACATAAAACCACAAACAAGTACGGTAGTCTCCGTCTAAACGCACGGTGCTCGGAGGGCTCCTTAGCGTGTGTTTGTACGGAGCGTGCGTTTACATGAACCTCAGCAAAAGAAAGGAGGTAGGGACGCAGGCTTCTCATTGTCTTGATATACTAGTTACCTCCCTTTGGGGTGGGGGTCACTTTGGCCGATAATGTGACGACACGTGACTTTTTTTGCAAAAGATTCCCCGACTGCGGTTAAGACTGCAAAGGTGTTGAATGGGTGTGTGGGTGTGGGGGG